GCAGACGTCTGTTCAGAAGCTGATGGATTTACGTCTTGCGGGGTCGTTAATCCTAACTCACTGTCGGGCTGCTGCTGACGCGGTGCGACCGGACTCGGGCGGCGCGCACGGCGGCTCCGGGCCTGACGCGGCTCACCCTCGCAGCATCCAGACGATACCAGACCAGCCTCAGCGTCTCACCCGGTCGAGTCTCCCCAGCGACATGAGCAAGCGCTCCAGTCCGTCTGACCTGTCCGGGTCTCCGGTCCTCCGGCCCGCCCCACCTGTCCGGGCCACCGGTCCTCCGGCCTGCCCCACCTGTCCGAGCCTGCGGTCCTCCGGCCCGCCCCACCTGTCCGGGCCTCCAGTCCTCCGGCCCGCCCCACCTGTCCGGGCCTCCAGTCCTCCGGCCCGCCCCACCTGTCCGGGCCACCGGTCCTCCGGCCCGCCCCACCTGTCCGGGCCTACAGTCCTTTGGCCCGCCCCACCTGTCCGGGCCACCGGTCCTCCGGCCTGCCCCACCTGTCCGGGCCTACAGTCCTCTGGCCCGCCCCACCTGTCCGGGCCACCGGTCCTCCGGCCTGCCCCACCTGTCCGGGCCTACAGTCCTCTGGCCCGCCCCACCTGTCCGGGCCTCCGGTCCTCCGGCCTGCCTCACCTGTCCGGGCCTCCGGTCCTCCGGCCTGCCTCACCTGTCCGGGCCTCCGGTCCTCCGGCCTGCCCCACCTGTCCGGGCCTCTCCCCCGGACGTCCGGTGCGATCACCGTAAGCGCCGTGACCGCCCCGCCGGATATTTGTACGCGCGGCATGGCGACGCCGTTGCGTCATGGGCGGCAGTGACGTATCCGTGTCGCCGCGGGCCGCATACCTGGCGCGGCAGCCGTCCCAGCCGGCCGAGTCACTTGTGAGTCACTGCTTCCCAGAACACCGCAGGACGTCATGGTTCCGGCCGGAAGGCTCCGGCAGGGGCGCTAGAAGCTCCCGGTGTTCAGAAGTAAAGTCAGTGTTGTTGTTGGAACCAGTCTGTGGATGACGTGTTACGTACAACGGAAAATTACGGCCAGCTTCGTGATGATAAACCGGTGCATGCGCGTAGACGATTTATCGTCAAATTTCGCGACACGGTGGCTCTGAAACAAATGCACGGTAACCCTTTGCAAGGACTGTTGCAAAATGGTATGCAGGTTACGGACTGGGACTGGGATTTTCAGGTGAACTATGGTGGCAGGTGAATGCAAAATTAACGATGGAAAATCGGCATGCTCTCAGTTTTTTGCCCAGTGGTCGTGGTCTGGCGGTCTGCCCCAGCATCTGTGGTCTGTGGTCAGCCCAGCGAAGGCTGTGCTGCATTCCGGTCCACCGCGGCGGTACAGAGTCACAAATGTCCCCCTGAGAAAGGGAGTGGCTGCGATAAGGCTGGCGAGCAGCGATGCAGACGGCTTGCGAAACCGGAAATGACATTAAAACTACTGCGTGTTTAAATGCGGATTAGATGAGCTCGGAGAAGGTTCAGGGCAATTTTCATGGCCCAGCTGATCACCACTGGGCGCTGAGCCAGAGAGGTCTGATCACCACTGCGCGCTGAACCAGAGAGGTCTGGTCACCACTGTGCGTTGAGCCAGAGAGGCTTGGTCATCAGCACAGACCGGTGTCGACGGTACGTGCGCCTGTGCCCGTGCCGGCCGCACCGACGGATACTTGCCGCCGGCACCCGCCCGGGGCACGTGGCGCCGCGCTGGGCCGCTGCAGCGATTCTCGCGTGCCGCCGGTCGCCTGTCGACGGGATGCGGGGCGAGTGGCTGGGTGGGGGGGGGGGGGAGGGGGGCAGCGATAAGAACTGCGGCGGTCGCGGCGTGCCGGCCGGGGCGGCAGTGTCGCGAGCGTGCGTCCGCCGGTCGGGGCATGCAGGACCTTGCGCAGCGCGCGCGGCGTCGGCCGACGCCAGCGGCGTGGAAGCCGCCGCCGCTGGTGAAGCGCCTCAGCGGCTCGCTGGACTCCATCTTGACCTTCATGACGCGGACGGAGATGAGTCTGGACGTGACGTCCGGCACGCTGCGGGTCAGGAAACGCAGCTTCAACATGCTCAGCATGGTAGATATGGCCCAGCGGCCGGGCCGCAGTGTTGGCTGGCTCAGGCTCGGCCGGCTGCGCAGGCGCGGTGGTGAGACACACGTGTCCTTCAAAACCTCTCAGGCCTGAGGTGCGCTTTGAACGCGCGTGGGTTTTATCATCTTGTTGATTTTGTCGTGTACATTTATGCGGTTATCCCAAAGTTGACCAGATATCTGCGCATCAGCGTGACGTGACAACGTGACGACGTGGCTGGCGTTTACATTTAAGTGAAAAATGATGCAGTTATTTAAGCCATGTGATCATTAACATTGTTCAGTTATCTCCAACTGAGGGCTTGATGCACTGTGGTCGGAGTTTAAACTATTTGTTTTTTGGGTGTTGCCGTTTATGCATTTACAATTTGCACCAAACTTTGTCGCTAATTACTGGTTGGTTATGTCAAAATTTAATGATGACCTTTGCAATAATGGCGTCCTAAAGCCCTCATTTGTCTTAGGTTGGATTTTGTTTGCATGTTCAAACTTTTCAACCGCGCTCAAGACTCAATAATGACCCTTTTCGAAGTCCTCCGTATCCAAGGCGAGCGTGGTGGGCGGTCGACGCCTTTTTTCCGGATAGCCATAAGCTTGTGATGGAGTGCGAAAGTCAGATAACAATGTTGCGACGATAATTTGGCCTACTGTGGTTATCGCAAATGCCCCGTAAAATGCGTAGAGGCCAGTGACAGGTGTTGAACAAATCCTGCCGGGGAGCTGCGTGAGGTCATTTGATATCGTTTTTAAAGCAGATGGTAAACAAGATGCAATTTTACCAAACTCTGGTACTCCTACCAAACTGTCCGCAATCCTCAAGGTCGCACCAAACCCAAACATCCCTCCAGTGACGTCCCAGCTGCCCCACCAGCGCTGCGTCGGCCCTCCGCTGACGGTGGCTTCGTCTTCGCCGCGTGCGGGACGCCGCCGAGCCGGCCGCGTTCGTCAGCCGGCGGCGGTGTTGACCGGCCTGGCCGGGCGGAGGCGGGCGGCCGTCATCCAATCAGCTGGCGGGGTTGGCGGCGCCGCTCTGTGCGCGCCGCGTGGGCGGCCTGATGGATGGCCGGGCGGTCGGATGACGGCGGCGGCTTCGTCACGGCGCCGCGCCGCCGCTGACGCTCCTGGTCCGAGCGCGAGCGGGATCCCTTCGGCGTCGGCCGGCGGTGAGGTGTCGGGCCGGAGTTCCCCCTTCGGAGAACCCAGTCAGCTCGATCATGCGACCGCGCAAGTGGAACGGCCAGCTGAAAGGTCCGCTGCGGAAATTCCGCCATCCAAATCCGCCCGTTTGAAGGTCTGCCAGGCAGGCAGTGCCGGGTAGAGGTCGAAAGCCCAACGACCTCCAGGTAGGTCACAGGGTCAGAAACGAGAGGTCTTCAGCGCTGCGGCCGACTCGCCCGACCCAGCCGCGCTCCCCGGGGGCACGCTCTGCAGGCGGGGCTTCGCCGGGCACCAGGGGCGTGATGGGCGCCACTGAGTGACCTTCAGCAGCCTGACAACAGGCGAGCAGACGCCTCATGAGCAGGCCAGAGGTGGCTGCCCCGTTCGCTCCTCTCAGTCGCCACGCTGTCGGCGGGCCAGTGCCAGCTGGCATCTCAGGAACGAACTCTGAGGTGCTGCTTGTGGGAAAAGACCTGTTTGCTTAAGCCGGTGTGCTTTTTCGCCGTGCATGCAACGCATGCTGACAGGAAGTTGCATCAGTGTTGTGAAGCCGAGAACGGTGGGGGAGGGACGAGCACGCTCCAGACTAAGACCTGCTGGGAGCTGGGTATCTGGGAGCTCCCGGGTCTGACGTCTACAGGGCCTTGGCCTTGCGCGGCCGTCATCTGCCGGAGAGCCCCGCCGCGGGGCCTCCGGAGATAACGTCGAAGCGGGCCACGCCTTTCGTGCTGGTTTGGATGAGCAGACGGAACCGGTGGTGATTGGCCAGGACGCGGCTGCATCCATCACTTGTCTGGCTGAGGAGGCCGCCCTGAGAGGTGGGCCCGATGCCCGGCAACGAGGGCTGGCACGGCGCGCCAAAGGTTTCGTTGTGGTGAGAGAACGACCCTATGCAAGGTGGGCAGACGGAGCTCTTTCAGGCTGAAGTTGACCTTGAACTGACAAATCGCGGATCTACGATACTGGCGGCATTCCAATCGCCTCTAAAGCTTTATAGCCTCGGCAAACAGACGTCCGTGTAATTGCTCGTGTCCGGCACAAACGCTGGCTCCATTCATTTCAAAGCGGCGCATGCGTTTCTCGGCTTATCTCCCGCGTTGCGTGACAACGTTGGCTTAGATCGCCCGACATGGAATGGTTAAGCGCTCTGCACGCGCCGTAAAACTCGAAGCTCTCCTATTTGGGAACTGGGCTACAATTTTGGCAGGATAGTTACCGCGTGTTCGTGCTCTAATGTTCACGTGTGTAAGCACGATGAGCATTTAAGATGTTGCACATTGCGTCCCTGTCCCTCCCGCATAGGAACCTCCTATCCGCTTATTAGATGCTTTGTCCTGCACGCGAGTCCTGCTCCTGCTGCTTTTGCCTGCTCTGGTTTTTGAGCAGCTCCAAAAAGCCAGACATGAACCGTTGGGAAATCTCGTTCTCAATCTGCATTTCTCCAGGCAGCTCCTGCCAACCTCAAGTTCTGCAAACTGATTCCGTTACAGCATCCGTTCACAATGGTGAAGTGGTTCAGCGTTTGAGATGCTGCAACGTTTTTAAGGCATTTCTCGTGACACGTAATGTTGAAGAGCGCAACGCGAACGTTGTTTCCACTTGCCAGTCGACGTCCTTCGTTGTTGGAAGCATAAGCACAAAAGCACAATCCTCTACATCTCCAGCACATCTGAAAGCTGAAGATTAGGTGAGCCGGCTAAGCGCAGGTCCTCGCGTTTTTGACGACCTGCCATCTCATAATGACCCCTGTCATTCCAGATGCCTGACATGCAGGGGGAGCCGGTGGTGACGCTGCCGGAGACTCCGCAGAACGGCCTGAGCGGCGGCCACAAGAGCGGACCGCTGGCCAAGGTCACGGCATTCCCCACCTCGCCGGACTCCATGAGCAACGCCAAGGTGCGTACGGCTGGGGCTGCTGTACGCCTTTTTAGTAAAGCGCAGTTCCAGGGCAGGTAGATCATGGTGGCAGAAGTTCAGCGGCGTGAGCATTTCGCTCTGGAAATGGCTGTATCTGCACGAAACGCCGTTCCGAAATGCGTGGCGATGCTACCACGTGCTTTCTCCAGATTGGTAGCTGACGCATGCTATTAGATACCAGCAAAAATGGTTCAGTTGTAGCATTTAACTTGTAAACATGAGATACTGTGGTTATCTTTTGACTAAGATATGTTATTATGACATCAAACAGTTCGGTGCATAGAATGCGTAACTTGCTCTTGCAATGAAGGCGAAGTGCAATGGTTCATGGTATAAGGCTGGGCAATAGTCTTAACTTAGTATCCATTTCGATCATTGTCGAGAACTGCCTACGTTCCGATGCTAAAAATGCTCACGCTCGTGAACTTCATGAGCGGTGGCTTGCCTCCAATAGTGCACTGGCATGCTTGCACCTGAAATAGATGCATAAGACTGCATTCCATTTCAAAAAGGAAACTTGTATAATCCGTTTATTGGTATGCTCTGACGTTACCTTGCAGCTCCTGCCCCGCCATCAAACCAGACACGGGTCCAAGCTCTGCAGACGGCGTATTTTACCGCGGTCGTGTGTACGCTGTCTGGTTGTTTGTATTTGTGTTTACGTGCTGGTGATGGCATCGCATTAGTTTTTTGTACCGTTGCATCATTACTAGTTAGCAGGATCGGTCTTGTATTGGGTGGGCTTTTAAAAGACACTGCAGGATTTGCATTCACACTGTACTTAACTTGCAGGAACACGTACGCAAAGCATGCAGCGGTTCCTTTGCAAACACAGGCTTTGTCTTTGCCTCCCTTGCGTTTGTTCGCGCGCGGATGTTTGACCTGTGGCACCTCCCTCTCCAGGTCACGTCCAACAACACGTCCACCCGGTTCGCGTCGCAGCGGTCGCAGGTGCTGTCGACGCGCGCCACGACCAGCTCCAGCTCCAGCACCAGCTCCGAGTTGAAGACGTCCGTGCAGGCGGACGCCAGCGACCGACTGGCGGCCTCGAGCTGCGCGCAGAGCGAGCTCCAGAACTTCAACCGCAAGGTGTCGCAGACGCAGATCGGCGCCAGCAACGGCCTGGCGTCGGACGTGACGTGCGTCACGTCCACCACGCGGGCCGTGAGCAGCCAGAGCAGCCAGTCCGCCTCGCTCACGTCCACGGCCGGCGTGCGCGGGGTGCAAGCAGGCGCCGCCAGGGCGGCGCTGCAGTCACAGACGTCGGCCGCCTCACTCGCGTCGGCCGCCAACGTGCGCCAGCTGGCCAAGAGCTTCGACTCGCTCAAGAACCTGTCCATGGACAAGCTAAAGGACTCGCTGTCCATGGAGAAGCTGGACGACCGTGATTTGCTCAACATCGAGCTGGGTGGAGACGATGGTGCCAGCCGGGACCCCAATGTGCAGGTGTTCGAGCAGAAGCAGTCCTACTCGACCTCCAATAAGAAGCTGGTGACCAACGATTTCAGCACGGAGGAGGCCACCGCCAACAGTGAGGAAATGACGCGCCTGCAGGAGGGCGACAACTCCTACCACGAGAACAAGGCGAGCTCGGACATGCGCGCCCGCCTGGAGATGAACGGCGTCACTGCTGAGAAAGGCCTCTCCACCAGACAGGTAAGACCGGCTGGAGATGAGCTCAGTGCTATTGCTGAGAAGGGCCTCTCCACCAGACAGGTAAGACCGTCTGGAGATGAACGGGGTCACCGCCGAGAGGGCCTCTCCACCAGACAAGTAAGACCTGCTGGAGATGAACTCGATGCTATTGCCGAGAAGGGCCTCTCCACCATACTGGCAAGCCGACTCCGATGCGGGTATTTCGACTGAGCAGACGTTGAACGATGTGGTATCCTGATAAGCTCCTGAAGACCGCGAGAGAAAGGTTAAAAGGAAGGGTATGTCTTCTGAGCCCAAGGATTTGCGAACAACTAAACATAGCGTTGACAATACTACGTAGCCTTTACAGTTCTGCGACGGCGAGGGGAGGACGCGCTCTAACGTTTGCTGAATGATTGTTCTCTTCGCGGAAAACGCGATAGGGAAATGAGGAAGGTCGGAACCTGGCCTTTCGAAGCATCTTTACAGACGGTTGCTGTGGTGGGTATTGTTCCAGCAATAAAGCTTCTGGTATTTTTCATGACAAGGCGAAAGCACGGGGCAAGGCCGTGCAAGGTCGGCCAGGTCTTTACTCGCCACGAGCGGTGTCGTATTGGACGCTGCAGGCAACTCCGCAGTGGAGCCAAAGCAGCAATCTTCGCGTGCTACTTATTCCTATCCGCACAATGATGCTACCACCCGCTCCGCGTGCGCACGTCGCATACGAAGTGGCCGCCTCGCCATGTTGCCTTCCGTCTGCTCTTTGTACCTCTCATACGACGTCGTTGGCGTCGCCCTTCTCAGCGGTGTTGTGCCAGCACGCTGCCGTCCCGCTGCGTCCCCCCTTCCCATCCAGCGGAGCGAGACAGCTCGAGACGGGGGCGCACTCCTCAGCCTCCTCCCGTGCTCGCCACCTCGCTCGTCACCCCGCTCGTCACGCTCGTCACTCGGCGGCGACAGAGCAGCTCCGCGCCCGTGAGCAGCAACACGGCCGGTCGCCGACGGCGGGGCGGCCGCTGTCGGCCGTGACCGCCGCTCTGACGTGGCCGGGGTCGGCCCGGCGCGCTGTGTCGGATGTGCCGGGACGAGCGTGCCCCGTCGGGATCGATACGGCCGGCGTCGGCCGCGACGGGCCGCAGTCGCGCCCCGCGCCCGCCGCCGCCGGACCGGCATGTACGGCAGCCCGCTCCGCAGACTGGGCGGGGGACTGAGCGGACTGCGGCGCGCACTGATCGGCCAGGGCGGAGCCGAGGGGCCGCCGGCCGCCGTCGCCGCGGAGCCGCCGGCTGCTGCGGGAGGAGCGGCCGCCGTCGGAGGGGTGAGGTGGGAGTGACTGGTGAGGCGGGAGAGAGGACCGCTGGGGTGTGATGGTCGGAGTGGGGTAAGGAGTGCTGGCATCAGGGGCGTTTGGAGGTGCGTGTGTTGGAGGAGAAATCATGAACTGTCTGCTGGAGAAGGGGAGCTTTGGTTCTGCTGTGGGTGATGGCGGCTGTGATGCGTGTGACATGGGTTAAGTGTAAGTTGTAAAGTGTATGGAGAGCGATGGCGCTCGAAACGTAGCCGTAGTTGAGATGCTTTGGGGCTAGCCAGATAAACAGGGCGTGCCAAATCGTAGCGAGTCACAGCTGAGCCAAATTTCGCGTCATATTCGGCGAAATATGTTCCAGATATCCAAAGATCGCTTCACTGATCAAGGCAAAGTTGTACTTTTGTGACCTAGGTGGTCTCTACCCTCGGGACTTAAGAAGCACGATGCGTTCATGACGTGCCGTTTCGTGGACTGAACGCGTAATCTTTGATCCGCAGCATCAAATGTCATGTCATGCGTCGCGTTACGTCGCGCTCTTATTAGTATGTCACAGCTCACTAGGATCACCGCTAATACCCCAATTCGGTAAACCGTCTGGCACTGTATGCGCCCTTCATAACTGGTCCCTAGTGTTCACAAATTACGGGGATTAAAGAAGTATATTGCGCCATTGTGGGAAAGTCAGGTACCTAACTAATCGACCGGGTGTAAGGTTCAGCTGGCATGAAAGGTGCTGTGCTGCAGCGTTTTGTAGTCGCCTTGGCTTTCCTAGCCCTTTTACGAGCGCGACGGTAGTTAATGGAGGGTCCGACTGGCTGAGGTGGCCGTGACCTTCGTGCCAGCATTCCACTCGGCTGTGAATGGGTGCATAGTAATCATTCCTTGTCACCCTGGCCGCCTCAAGGGCGCCGACAACAAAGCCGTCGCATCGGACGTGTGAGCTGACATTTACTATCAACGTCGCGGCGGGAGCGTCCCGGGGCATGAGGGCGGCCTCGCGCGTCGGGCGGATCGGCGCCGAGCCGCGCTCGCCGCCGGGCGTCCGCCGCCTGGCCGCCGCGTGCGTGTCGCGGCCCGGTGGCGACAGCTGACCCCGCCGTAACTGCCAACCCGGCGGCGTCGACGCCAGATTGATCCAGCGTCGGGATCGATGCTCAGCTGCAGCCGGACCCGGCGCCGGCGGCTTCCTCCTCCCTGCGACGTCGCCGCGGCTGCCGGCACGGGAAATCGAACCAGACGCGCGCTATTTGTGGGTCGGGGACAGCGGCAGGGCCAGTCGTAACGCCGACGAGGCGGCTGATTTCGCCGCTTGCGGTTCGATTGAAACTCGCCTGGTCGTCGCCAGCCGCGGGCGGCCACCCGCAGGCGCCGGCTCTGATGTCCTTGCTGACATGGTGCCTCCGCAAGGTCACTTCTGCAAGCCGACACCGGTAAATATTTATCCGGGGACGGACCATGTGCCGTAACGAGTCTCTGTCCGTGTTCTGTTGCGTACGATCCCAGGTCCGGGTGACGGGCGCCACCCGCCGCCAGCTGTTTGCGGTCAGGGGGCCCGTGTTTACAAACACGTCGCGACCCTCACCGGTGACCGCTCGCCCGGCCGGCGCGCGCCCGCCCCGGCCGGCGCGGGCAGGTGCTGGTGGCGCCACCTGTCGCCTGGGCTGGCCCGATGTGGTCTGGCGCGCTGCTCGTGCCGTCGTGGGACCCTGGGTTGTCGATGGCGAGTCGTGTTAATCGCCACGCTCACGTGAAGTCTTCTATGACGTCCATGCGAGGTCGAGGTCCGTGATGTCGAGGTCTTCGTTCTCGGCTTCTGACAGTGAGCTCACTGATCCGCCACGCGAATTCGTTGATGGAGGTCTGGGACCATCTGCCGAGCAGTTCCCGTTTGTGAACGGTGACTACGTCCATGACCTTGTGTGCCGACGGTGAACGCTTCGGCCTTTTAAGCCGCCAGAATTATGTTTGCCCTGAAATTGGCACTTGAAAATGCACAAGATTTACGCAATCGACATAAGAGCAAGGCGCTTTGAAAGGCCTTATAACAATGGGATGGGCCGCTGAACAACAGTGCGTAGGCGTTGATGTAGGAACCATATAATGATGCAGCTTAAATGTATGGCATGCTGTTTACGAAGCCTGGTTACGGCGTCCGGTTTTTCCAGTTTTAGTCCCAATCTGCTAGTCAAGCCATCAGGCTAACTCACTCAGGCCTCTCTATTCAACGTAAATATAACACGTCTTGTAAGAAGTCTGCTTCTTAGTGGAGTGAACGTCTTCGTGGTTTGGCGTCCTTTGTCTGCCTTAATGAACTTAATTCAGCAGCCAGACGCATTTATAGTGATCGATATCCATCAATATCGGTAATGAAATGTAAATTTCGTCGCTAATAACTCTAAATATGGGATGCCCATCATTTCTCATTTTGGCAGACGGTGTGTTAAACCCGCTTATCTCCTTCATCGCATGTTATTATAGGGCGTGCCCCCGCGCGTCGCGTGCTTCAGTCTAAATGCGTGGGCGACGTCTCGCTCTTTTTTATGTGTGTGCCGCAACGACCTATCACAAGAGTGAGTCCAACAGGCCCACCGATAACGATCTCCACCGACAGCCTGTCTGTCCTGCCAGAGTCCAACAGCCATCGGCCCCAAAGGGTGTTCAGGGGCTGGGACAGGCGCTGCGGTCGAGGTCATGTCGGTTATCATGGCCATTGCGCGCCCATAACTCCGAGCAAAGTGGTCAAGTGGAATTGTTATTTGGCGTCAGAGATGAACCCAATACCGCGTGCCGCTGGCAAGAGCTCATCGGTGGACGGCAGCCAACATGTCGTGAGCAGCTGTGGCGCCGCTTCCAGCCGTCCACGCCAAGCTCCGTGGGCCGTCCCCGCCCGCGCGGGCCTGCCCAGGTCGGCCCCTTCTGGCGAAAACAGCCGAGCACCACGTCAGGGGCCTTCCTTGCGCGCGCTGAGGGATGCGACCCCGCCGCTAAAAATAACGGTGAGCTCACTTGTCTTCCACTGGAACTCCACCAAGTCGGGCGGCAGTGGTGGCCGGCGGTTGGTGGGTCCAGCGCGCGGAGCAGAGCGCTGCGGCGCCCTGCAGGGAGGCTCGCCATGCCGCACCTGGTCATCAAGGTAGGGGCGAAGTGCGTGGCGCACCGGCGCCAGCAGCGGCCGCCGCGCCGGCCGGCGCCGCTAACATCACTGTGCGTGGGCCGGCAGTGAAGCCGCCTTTGAGCGATGAGGACCCCCGCGCAGTTGGTAGGATATCGAGCTGTCTTCGACGTGAATAACTGCTTGTTAGATTGTTTTTCGGCTGGTTAGCATTCTCGTCGGCTCAGTTATTACCGCGTGCGACGAGGATTGATAGCGGTGGAGGCAGGGCTGGACGTCTGTTGTGAGTTAGGTGTTGGTGCTTTCTCGCTCTCTCTCTCTCTCTCATTGGAGAAGGTGGTCTCTGCGCCGCATTCCGTCAATGGCACGCGCCGGTCCACTGTGACCGACGCCGCACGGCCACAGCCCTCAAGCGTCCCGACATTGAGCCGCCCGCGCTCGGCGGTGAACCGACGACACAGCGCAGGACTACGCCGCGGGCCGCGGCAGGTCTCAGGGCGCCGGGCGCGGAGGCCGCGTGCGGGGAGATGTGACGGCGTCATGTCGAGGGCGGGGTGGGCGGAGCTGCAGGGTGCAGAAGACCCGCCCCTGTCATGGCTTCAGTCTTTTTGCCCAAAATTTGGGAACAGCTGTCGACATTGGACACACTGTTGCGCATACATAGGCAGTGAGGATTATCGTTCAGCCCAGTCTGGGTGCACCAAGCTAAATGGAGGCGTCCATACTGCGTGGCTCTGCCGCTAACAACTGTCTGCGTCTGCGTCCATCGCCACAACGGAGTAATGTTGCTTCAGTGACCTGAACGGCGAGCATTGTTCTGAGACAGCGGCAGTTTGTATCTTGACTTCGCCCGCCGCAAACAGGTTCGGAACTCTGGTCCTGGTGAGGAATGGCAGACGCCCGACCACTGAGGCGTGCGCGCAGTAAAGGATGCCGCCAGGATTGCCAGCTGTGCCAGCCAACTGGCTGTTATCCTGTTTTTAAGTGTTTGGCTGATCCGGCACTTCAGTCGCTCCTGGTCAGCTGCGTGGCCAATTTTCCGTGGTATCCTGCATCCGCCCAAACACAGCGCCGCTAGCCCAAGTACAGTGGGACGACATGAAACAGGAGCTCCCCATCGCCGAGGCATCCCTGCGGCTGAGGATCAGGGACAATATTTACAGGATATGCGAAGAACGATGAGGCCATCTCAGATTGGTGCAGTCCCTGAAAAGGGTGTAAATGGTCCACGCTGCTCACACAATTTATACTGGCACTCCTGCCAGGAAAACGTGCATTTCCACGATATCCTGCGCTAAAGACAACGCAAATTAAAATTATTATGTTAAGTGAAAAACGTGGGTGATTTTTTGTTTGATCGGCCATCGTTTTTGGTGCTTGTATTGGTCTTCAATGAACAATGAGCATGGCTTCAACCATTAATGCGTTTCTATTTTGAAAGTACGGAATTCAGGATACAGCTACAAGATCAGATTGCAAAAAGTCCCTTGCTTCAAATGCGTCACTTTCCGATTTTGGTCCGCAAACGCTGGCACATTCACCCTACTTACCAACAGTTGACGTTTAGTATCCCGCTATGACCAACGGCATCTGCATCTGTGCGCCAACGGTTCGGGTTAGCAATTTCCGCCGCCGACGATTCACGAGCCGCCCTGCCGGGAACCGAACCGGTTCCGGTTGTGGACCGAGCCGCTGCGCAAAACGCCCCGTCGTCCGCCCCCGACCCTACCCCCCCCCCCCCCCTCTGACGGATTGGCCCGACCTGTTGCCATTGGCTGGGCGCAGAGCGCGCGTCAGCATGCCGCCGATGAGGGTCAACGATCAGGTATCGTCGGCGGTCGATGCGGTATGCGCCTGAGCTGGTTATTTTCATGTGGCTGAAGGAACCGTTTCCGCCGATCCGTCGCCGCCTTCCGGTGTTAGCATTCCACGCGCCGCCCGCGCGGTGATCGATTGCCTTGCCTTCTGCGCGAAAATTTCGGTCTCGTTGGCTCCAGCAAATTTGGCATGCCGTTGGCTCCAGCTGACGGGCATTCGAAGAATATAGCTGGGCTGAAATCACTGGTGCCGCGTACCGCCTTGTGGCACAAGAGGCTAACTGTCCCCTGGAGAAGATGTGTTTTCATTGTGGGTCAATGCGTCTGGGAAACCAGAGGTACGGGGTTCGATTCCCCGCGGTACCCGCCCCTCCTGCCAGTGTGAGAGGTAGGCGACGCCATACAGCCTCAGCAGCTGAGTGCGTCGTAAAGCCCCAATGACACACACATTGTGGGTCAACGCGTAACACTGAACCTGAGTAGCTCGGCTCGTCACAAGTCAGACTTTTACGACGCAGTGTCGGGCGAGGTTTGACGCATATACGTGTGCAGTATATCTGAACTCAACAAGATACCTCCTGCTAAATCTGGTATGATTTTGCTGTCCGTGGTGGATCGTAGTTTCAGGAGGTAAAACAGCGGAGGTCAGGAAACATGGCACCCAGGACTTTTTTGCTGGTTCATGGTTGGTCATTTTTTAGGATGCCGGCCAGTTCTAGGCAGGTGATGCGACACATCAGGAGCTGCTTGCTGATCCGTAATTGGCCGTGGTTTCAGGAGGCGCGCCAGCTGAAGGCAGGTGACGTCACGCATCAGGAGTCTCGGTCGGCAGCGGTGGCCGGCGCCAAGCTCTCTACAGACGGCTTCAGCACGCAGAAGGTGGCCATGGAGCAGAACCAGCAGCGGCAAACCACGGCGGCTGGCGTGGTCAACCAGGAGCAGCGCTCCAAGAAGTCTACCCACTCTAAGGTCACCATCAACAAGCAGCAGGTCAGGACAAAGCGAGGGAGCCGAGCACCGAGGGGTCGAGTTCCCCGGAAGTGGCGCTGCCATGCTAGTCATGTTTACAAGCGTGCGCGTATCGTGCCTCTTCCATTGTCTCAGGTAGCGTGTGTGGGCGGTGCGTGGGCTATCAAAGCTGGGTGCAGTGGCTGGGCTCGTCCGTCTGCCGCTGCGATTGAGCTGGCATCTCCGGAGGGTAGTCACTGTGCCGTCTGATGCAGGCGTCGTGCGGCGGACTCAGCGAAGGCATAACGCGGTCGGTGGCTCCCGCGCCCACCTCCCGGTCTCATTGTTTCGCGACATCTGACCCCGCGATAAGTCATCGCCAGAGCAGAGGCTCTGCGTTGGCGACGGTGACGTCCGGCTGGGCTACCGGCGCGTGAGTCACACCTGCCGGGCACTGACGAGTTATGTGCGGCTACTGGCAGGGCGTGACCACGCCGACCAGTCCGGCCGTGGCGTTCGCCGTCGAAGAGCTGGACCGGCTGGAGCGGAGCACCAGCCCGCTGGACGTGGGCCAGGCGGTCATCAAGTGCTCCCACCACATGGCGCAGATGCTGCGCGGCCTGGACCAGCAGGAGCCCTCGCAGCAGCTCTCCATGTTCGACCAGATGGACACTATGATGCGCCGCGCCTGGTCCGTGCCTACATACGGCCACGAACTCGGCAACTCGCTCTGTGACGTCATGAGGGACAACGGCGGCCTGGACGTGCTCATGCGCACGTGCAACACGGGCAGCAAGGAGGTGGACCTGAAGAGTGCGCGCGTGCTCGAGCAGTGTCTGACGACGGAGAACCGGCAGTATGTGGTGGAGCGCGGTCTGGACAATGTGGTGCGCTCGGCGTGCCGCACGTGCGCGGAGAAGGCCGACGAGCGCGAGTCGCGCGTCGGCTCGGGTATCCTGGAGCACCTCTTCAAGCATAGCGAGGGGACGTGCAGTGACGTGGTGCGCATGGGCGGGCTGGACGCCGTCATCACACAGTGTAAGAACAAGGATCTGGAGACGCTGCGACACTGCGCGTCGGCGCTGGCCAACCTCTCGCTGTACGGGGGCCCCGAGAACCAGCAGGCGATGATGAAGCGCAAGGTACCCAGCTGGCTCTTCCCGCTCGCCTTCCACAACGACGACAACATCAAGTACTACGCGTGCCTGGCCATCACGTCGATGGTGGCCAACAAGGAGATTGAGGCGGCCGTGCTCAAGTCGGGCACGCTGGAGCTGGTCGAGCCGTTCGTGACCTCGCACGACCCGGACCAGTTCTCTAAGTCGACTGTGGCGCACGTGCACGGCCAGTCGCGCAGCTGGCTGAAGCGGCTCGTGCCCGTGCTGCTCTCTGACCGCGAGGAGGCGCGCAAGCTGGCCGCCTTCCACTTCTGCATGGAGGCCGGCATCAAGATCCGCCAGGGCTGCCCGGAGATCTTCGAGGAAATCGGCGCCATCGAGCCTCTGAAGCAGGTGGCGAGCTCGCCGAACGCGGTGGCGTCCAAGTACGCGGCGCAGGCGCTCCGCCTGCTCGGCGAGGAGGTGCCGCACAAGCTGAGCCAGCAGGTGCCGCTCTGGAGCGTCGAGGACGTCAAGGAGTGGGTGAAACAGGTGAGTTGGAGAGACAGGCTGCTGCAGGCGGGTGTGGGCGCCAGGTCAGACTTTGACCCTGCTGTGTGGCGGGATGGATGGCATGTGTCGCACTTTTGTCGGAGTCTGTAATTCAGCGAGCGGTTGGAGTCGTGGAAACGCGGTGGCGTTCCGTCGCATTTGAAGTGGAATCTTCTAGGGACTGTCGAGCGTGTCTGACGTATTGTCACAGCGAGCCACGTCATGAGCACTGGTGATGTGGCGGACCGAGCCAAAAATGCATCCCTTATCGCTTCTGTTAATCGTGGACGAAGCGTTCATGAAGTTGTAATCTCATTAATAGTGAACGCGCTTTCCAGGTTACATTCACAGTCCACATGACTGACTATGACTGCTGTTGCATTGAGGCTCAGTGCATTCATATTCACCCAAGGAAAGCGCGGGAATTGTACTCGTGATTCGTTTTGCTATTGCCTTCACCGCTGTTACGCACATTGCGTCCGTTCAGAATTCCTTGTCATCTGTCGTTATCGCTGGTGGTGTATTTCTGATCAGCTGTGCCGGGGAATAGCTAATTCCAGAGACTGCGTCGCTGTGAAAGGCACGATGAAAATGTTCCCAATGCGCGATCTCTCTCGTTTTAGGTCTCAGCGTCCTGTAAGCGAGGCTGGTTTGCGAAAAGGTGTCGTTGGCCATCTCTTTGTTGATTGCTGACGCTTGTATGCGATGGACAGTGTTGAGATCACCTGGTAAAATGTAGGGGGCATATTCACCGTTGCCGCGCAATCGGCTTCCCGTCCTTACCTCCTCTGATTGCCGATGTCTAACATCGCTACTTAAAAATTTCGAAAAGGGGACTGATCGGTTCCTTGGTTCGCACACAAGCGCTCGTGGTATACTTATATTGATTCACAATTGTCTTCATAAGACTGTCCCTTCTGTGCTGCGTTCTATTCCACTTGTATGGTGTCGTGGTGACGCCGGATCGCTGAGATCTGCAGCTTTGTTTCACCCGCGCTCCTCAGCTGCATTGCAGGTTGAAAATTGTTTCGTCCACGTGTTAAGCGTATGAGGAAGGTCATGTATTGTTTCAGCTGCAATGTTGCAGGAAAATCTCGCCTGTTCGAACAGCTTGCAAGAAAATAATAACAGCAGCACAAAATCACAATGTGTGGGGCATGACGGCTATTTTTGCGGAAAGCTGTATTAACGTAGGATCATTAGCTGTGACGATATTACAGTCTAGAAAACGTCGCAGATAGTCTGTCCAGGCCGTTCAGGTTAGAAATTATCTTGAGTGCAAATTACCTTACGTGCAAGCACGACTCGGTCAGCCTGTACCCTCACTCTCAATCAAAACAAAAGGTGTCTAAGAATTTCCAAATTCAAGCTCTGAAACTACTCCCGAGTCTCCCAAGCCAAATGACCCCACATAAGCAGGAACCCCTTTCACTGACCACTTCTATGGATTTCCACAGATTAACTTCTCCCAATTTGCCGACGACTTCGTGCGATCGCGGATGGACGGCGACCTCCTCTTGCGCATGACAGGAGGACATGCTGAAGGACGACATTGCCATGGCCAACGGCATCCTCAGGAACCGCTTCATGCGCGAGCTCAGCAACCTAAAGAAGATGGCTGACTACTCCAGCTGTGACTCCACGGGCCTCAACACCTTCCTGCAGAGCATCAGTCCAGAGTTCAGCGTCTACACGTACCCCATGCTGACCTGCGGAGTGGACAAGGACTGTCTCAGGTGGGCAGTCACCCGCCTCTGCTGACCGACCTTCGACGGGTTGGCCCGATAGTGGCGGAACGCTAGCTCGGACCACGCGCTGGGTGCTCGAATAGCTCGTGTGGGCGACTCATACTCGAGCTATTGATCCTCTGCTGTCGACTGATGCAGAGTCTTGGCTGTTGAGCCCTGCATAATGAATGTGCATCGAGCGCAGCTCGGCTTTCATGGTTATTCGCAGCTTTGACGTGGCTGGAATGTGTGCAGCTGTCCTTATGACTGCCCTTGCGGGGCTTTGCTTGCCACCGCGGGGCCATACCAATTAATGAATTATCGAATCAGTGGATTGCTGCTGAGCCTCAGGGAATTCGCGTACGCTTTGGATGAGACCGTGTTCAGATCTTAGCCGGTCGATTTACAGTCCGGTTCCCCGAGACGCGAATGATAACGTCCACTAGGTCTGACATCAAAGAGGGGTAGATAGGGCGTTATCGTCCAGTCCAACACGCGGCCGGAAGCCGTGTCCCGTAGGATGACTCGGCTCCTGTTGACTTTCCTGCAGGTACTTGACGGATGAGCAGCTGCAGTTCGAGTGTGACATATCTAACTCCATTCACCGCCTGCGGATACACGAAGCCATAAAGAGTAAGAAGATACAGGAGCGGGACGAGAGCTCAGTTTCAGTGCAGCCCCCCCCCCCCCCTCCGCATAAAGCGTGACTTTCTCGTGTTCTATCGTGACGTGTTTGACATAATGTCGACCCCCTACAGGTAATCACCGACGTGGTTATGAAACTGCATGCCGGTATGCGGGCTTTGACGAAGCGTTTTGGATGCAGTGCGATGTGTGTTTTGCATAATGAACCAGAATCTTCATGCAACCAACCTATGTCGGTTCAGGGAAGGTACAAGGGTGGGTCCTTTTCTGAAGGTGTTCCAAGGATCAAGAGACCATTATTTGCTTGAGCAATCGCGGACAGATAGTCTTTGAGCGCCGGTGATCTCATCCGCCGGGCGTCAGATAGAAGACCAAATGACGTCACTGGCCCTACTTTAAGCGAGGGTCGCACAACTGGGTGCTGCGGCGGCTCGTCCAAGACGAAATGCGTAGCCTTCAAGATATTGATCGTGCCCGGTGCCCCACTTTTCACTCATGAAAAATGGACTCCCTCTGCTAACCGACGCGTGCCACGCCAGTGGACTCGCACCTCCCTGACCCCCCCCCCCCCCCTCGTTCCGCAGACGAGTCGGCGCCGCCCGAAGTGTCCGAGGATATGGACAAGACGCTCGACTGTTTCATCTCGTACCGGCGCTCAAACGGCTCTCAGCTGGCGTCGCTGCTCAAGGTGCACCTGGAGCTGCGCGGCTTCTCCGTCTTCATCGACGTCGAGCGGCTGGAGGCGGGCAAGTTCGACAACAACCTGCTCAACTCGATCCGGCAGGCCAAGAACTTCATCCTGGTGCTGACGCCGTCGGCGCTCGACCGCTGCATCCAGGACTACGACCAGAAGGACTGGGTGCACAAGGTGAGGACCGGCAGGACGGGGTCAGCGCGAGGTAAAGGCACGGGATCTGGGTGCACAAGGTAAGGACAGAGGACATGGTGAGCAAGTTGAAGACTGAGAGTGCTGTGTCAACCTTGCGGGACTAGAGGGGTTGCACTTTGTATGACCGAAAGAGCTGAACGCACAAGGTGGGGACTGAACTGGTAAGGTGCACAGTGTGGGAATCAGAAGATCTGAGAATAGATACGTTGATAGACCAAGAAGGCTGAGTGCGAATGGCTGGGCCGCAATGAGCGGGCGCGCAGGAGCAGGACCACGACTGCCGGTGAGGCCGGAGGGGTCACAAACCCGTGACTGCACCCTGACCACATCTCTGTGACCCTCAGGAGGTGTACGCGGCACTTCAGTCCAAGTGCAACATCATTCCAATCATCGACAACTTTCAATGGCCGGAGGCAGACGAGCTGCCGGAGGACATCAAGTCTGTGTGCACCTTCAACGGCGTCCGGTAAGCCCAGGGGCAGCAGCCGTGTCTTTTATGAAATCATTTTATGGTCAATGATTAACAAGCTGACTTATGTTGAGAAAGACGGCGAAAAGACGTTCGCTTGAACTATTGGTAGATTGTGTTACATTGCATGCAACTTGTGGCAAGTGTACTTGAATACGAAAGTGCGGCGGTAACAAACAGCGCTTGTCATGTGGCACTAAGGGGGACGACTGCACGGTCTATGTCGGTTTGGAACGGAACGTTGCCTTCGCCCCTATTTCGGTCCATCTCGAACTCGACCCTTAACGTGACCCCGCCCGCCGACACCGCTCGCGTCGGCCCGCCGCTGGGCGACCCGAGCGTCAGTCCGCCCGCCTGACCGTAGTGTCGCCGCCGGCCGCCAGGTGGATCCACGACTACCAGGAGGCGTGCGTGGACAAGCTGGAGCGCTTCATGCGGGGCGAGCTGAACCGTTCGGACGGCCGGTACGGAGGACACACCACCGGGCCCGGCACGCCGTCCACCCGGCCTCCGCCGCACCCCTTCCTGCGCACGCAGAGTTCTGAGTCGGCGCGAGACGCCTAACAGGTACAGTGAGCGGCGCGCGGGCGGCGTGCGGCGGCGCGCGGCGGCGGTAGTGGTGGACGGTGCGCCGGGTAAGCTCTGGGAGCGGCTCCACGCTGTCTTTCTCTCACTCGCTGCCGCTGACTAACACGCCTGGACGCTGCTGAGGTGCGCTTCGTAGAGCTGCTTGGTGACTGACTGGGGTAGGAGGATGGGTGTTGTTCGAACTAACAGAGGGGTACCTGTTGAGCACATATCTGCCGCTAGATCATGGTTTATTTCCTTTAGCGTACGCAAGGTATTCGCTGAACTAGATGTGTACAACGTTGTGTTACTGGATTCATGCCCTTTGAAAACGACTGCAAAGCGAAGCAGTCGACCTTTAAGAACGTCGGACTGAAAGTGATTTCGTTTCAAGCGGCCATATGAGGACACATCAGGTAAATGAACAGTCGAGCCGGCCACTTTTGTCTTGATTCAGTCGACCAGTTTGGTTTGTATCTTGTACAAACCTTGTTTTCGTGCGACGAATGGTACACATTTGTCCAACAGCCTCGCGCATGGTTTACTTATTTACAAGATCAACGTCTGCTGCCGGCACCCTGCATGCGTCTGTATGACCGTCGGCATGTTAAATGCATGAAGACAAGCACGTCTGCGTTTGGGATGATGTTCGGGACATCATTGCAACCGGCATGTTTCGTTCTTTTCCCATCCTCACTTATCTCGTCGCCTTGTCAGTTTCTGTGTCCGTGTTTCATGCTGCTCTCGGGTGTGTTTGTATCTATTTTTACCTGTACAGTCCGTAACTGTTCGCCTTTCGGCGGCGTGGCCGGTGTGTATACTAGCTGCTGGCATGTCCGCACACGTCCATACCGCTTAGCTCGGCGTTGGCGGCCACCCGCGCCAGCGTCTGTCCGCTTCTCCACGCCATGTGGAGCGTATGGCCGCTCGGCGGAGCCCGCGGCTCACAGTGCGGCGTCACCTGGTTGCAGGTTCCCGGCTGGCGGGCGCGGTCACAGTCCGCTGGGCGCGGCGGCGCGCGCGCAGAGTCCGTGCCTGTCGCGCGGCCAGAGCCCCGGCCGCTGGACGCCCAGCCGGCCGCCGATGTCGCCGCTCTCGCCGCGCCGCCTGCTGCAGTACCAGCGGCGCGCCTCGCCCGTCGTGTCGGGCGCGCGCCGGCGCGAGATGACGCGCAGCCGCAGCCTGGACGCCATCCTCGACTCGGGCCCGGGCCCGCTGGACGCCGACAGCGCGTTCCTGAGCCGCTCCGAGGACGAGCTCGGCTGCTGTCGCGGCGAGGACGGCGCGGTCGAGACGCCGGGCGCCACCGAGCCGGCGCCGGCGCCCGAGACGCCGGCGGCGCCCGACGCCGAGCGCGAGCCGTCGGTGGCGTCCGAGGCCAGCCGAGACTCGGACGCCTCCCGCCAGGGGCGCCACAAGGCCAGCCTGGTCGGCCGGACCCTGCACAAGGTCCGCAACATGATTACCAAAGACAAGTAGCCGGCCGTGGGTCGCGCTGGCAGCTAGCTCCGCTTCGCGTCGCGGCTGCTCCGTACGACAGTGGCAGACGCTGCTCTGTGAATGCGAACGGCGCCCTTGGGGTACACGAGCGCTCCCGTTTTTCATGTTGTAGCGGATGCAATTCAAACCGACTCGCGCAAGGTGTGGGCTGGAAGCGGTCTCTGCGGAGACGCGAGCACGGGAAGGGTCTTAGCAGCGGGGACGTGGTCGCTGCGCCTTGTCCATCCCGTCCGCCGTCCTGGTGCCAGTAGAATTGCTGTTTTGAGGTCACTCAGCGCCTAGGCGTCAGTCGTCGCTCCGCCCTTTGTGCAGCTGTACAACGGTCTTGAACCGCTCTTCCCAAGACGAAACGTTGTTAAAATGTTTTCGACATTGGTCCGTTCAGCGGTGTAACTTTCCTGCGGGTCTGCGCACCAGAGCTATATGTGCGTACTACGGCCATGCATGTTGCGGCCACAGGCAGTTCCTTGCCACTTTGGCCATCCACCGAAAAATGGTCGGGGATGTCGCGTTGTGAAGCGCGGCTCCGACCCAGCACGCACGCCCCAGCCGCGGCTTTAACACAGCTAAGACTCGCACCCGTGTTTCAGCCCGTCGAAGTGATTACCTCGGCGTTTTGTGACGTAGTTAAGCGTCTGTGGCGATGACGGTGATGCTGATGTGCTTGTATATGGCTGTAGGTACCAGTCTAGTGTATATTACTGGGAGAAGCCCTAGTCAAAAGATCGATGCACGATTCAACGCCCTGTGGCTTTACGGAACTATTTTGACAGCCATGTTGGTACAATATGCGTGTAACTTGCGTGTGGGTGGCGTTTTTGAATGCGAATGAGTGTGATACACACTGTACCATTTTCCTTTTCCGCTGAGAGTATTTAAGCGCTTGTTTCTGCTCCTCCATCGGAGCTCCATTGCCTTGTTTTTTTATCTGTCAAAGTGACTAGGTAGTTGATATTACGCTCGAGATACATGCTTGGTTGGTTGACTTGTGCAGGCGCGCGGAGCTCTAGATTATCCCGCCCGTGCCGTACTGCTGTGTGTTGCAGGATGTCTCACAAACCGTTCATAGGTAGGATGCAACACTGTGTGCCCATTCACCCCTGTATCTTTGTCGATCGACTCTTGTCCTCAATACATCCTGAAAACATGAGATTTCTCGTTTCGGCCGGCATCGAGTCGAGGAATCACGAGGCAAAAGCAGTGAGCTGATGCGGCCGGCCTCGCAGAAACAGCACGTGGCCGTGGAGGCTGACCGAGGCCCGACCATCATCGCGGCTCGGGACATCGCCAATGGGCACCGTCTCGTGGAACCGAATTGGCAGGCTGCCCGCGAGCTGCGCGCAGGCTATCGCCGCCCCCACGCGCCTCCAGAGTCCGCAACGATGCCTTGTTGGGTCAGTGCCTGTTCGCTCGGAAACGAGCTCGATTCTCGCCGGGGTGTCTAAACGCTTCACTGGGAATTTTGTTAGCATACTCGGCGCTTGTGCAGCAGCTGCAGGACAAGCCCGCCGTCAAACGACGTCTGCGATGATGCGTTGATGCGACTGCGTCTACAATTATAACCGAGACATTAAACACATCTCCCGTTGCGTTGATTCGTTTGTTCGCCATCGTTGTGGCAGCGCGTGAGTCGTCGAATGTTTTAACAGCGAGCGGTACACTTTGTGCCCCGCGAACCTTCAGGAAAGGGTCATGACACACGCAAGCCACGTGTTTCTACGAGTTTCGGCTATGCTGCACCTCGGTTCAGTCTCAAATCTCCAGCGTGTGGCCGCGCGCCGCGACAGCCACAGCGGGCCAGTTGGCCTGCGGCCGCTGAACACGAGCAGCCCTCAGCTCCCTCTAGCGGAGTGGATGTCACGTGCGGGGACCGTCCACTGCCAGACCTCCGCCGTGACGCGTCACGCGGCCCAGCTCGAGTGAAGTAAGCAATACGTGGCGAGGACCGGTCGCACAGGAACACTTTCCACATCTGGGCACGCTTGCGCAGCATTTATTTATCAAAAGTTTTACCCGAGCTTGGCCACAGCCGCCGCGGCAGACCGCCTGGAGATCACAGTTGCTTCAGTTGTTGGCACATCGCGTAGCTGCACTCACTGACAATCATTGCTGGGGTCCACGGCTATTACCACTTGTCACGCTTCCGCCCAGGGCCCATGGCACAGTACCGCAGGAGCGGCTTTCAGCTTTGGGAGAGCCCAGGCCCCGAGCCTTACGCAGAGTTCCACACTTGTCTCTGCTATGCGCGTAGCTCACTGACATCAACACAAACATTCTAAAAAGACGTCGCACGCTTGGGTCCGTCAGAAAACGTGCGGGAAGCACGAACGCTACAAATGAGACCTTCTGAGTTACGTTACAACTGTTATGGAATGACGCAAAACTGCAGCGAATGTTCATACACAATGAAAGCACTTCTTGGCTAACACAGCTCTGTTATGAGGGTACGTCTGCATGTTGCCGAACTCAGCGCCGAGGCTCTCTCTCTCTCTACGCTCTCACCGCGCGCTGCGCCGTCCTCTTTGATCTTCCCCTGGCTGCACTGGCGGCCCAGCCCAGCCCCTCCCTCCTCGCCCCACCGGAGAGCGAGATCACCTCCCGCCGAGAGCCAGCTCCCCTCACGCCTCTTCCTCCGGTGTCACTCCGCCGAGCCGCGCCCCGGACCGCAGGCCGGCCCGTCCGGAGCTGCGCCCCGCGGCACCCCTGGCGGCGCCCCCTAGCGGGTGCCGGGCGCCTGGTCGCCGCGCACGTAGCGAGCCGCCGCCAGCTGGCCGGCGGTCAGCGGGCGGCCGCTGATGTCCTGTATGGCGTCCGGAGAGAGGCACGACTCGGCGGCGGCGCGCCGCAGCAGGCGGCCAGGACCCCGTCCCGGCGGGTGACGGTTCCACGACAGACCTGCCGCACCCCAAACACGCACACGTGGCTGCCGAGAGTGTCACCGACACGTCAGCGGAACAGTCATCGACAAGCAGCGGTGGTGGTGTGGTGTAGCTTCCTATCCAGTTGGAGCGGGGAGGGGGCGACCTCCTCTTAAAGGTTGAGAAGAGCGTAGGCCGGATTCGGGGAGAAACCCTTTTCTTGTGCATTCTCCGATACATTTAACAGTTTTCCTCGCTTACCCACGCAGCTCATTTTGCGTAACTAAGTCCTTTCGAGCAGTGTACGTTACGTCAGTAGCACCGCCAAGGGCATGACTAATCGTGAGCATTTGATTCCATTGCCAAACACCTAGCTGTGCTGTGCACTGGCCCAAAACGCACGCAACTTAACACCGTTCATTCTTACAAACGCACGAGAGACACGGGTGCACGCTCGCGGGCAGGTGAGATGTCATAACTCACAGATGTGGGTGAGCAGCATGTTGGTGGTGGCGCGGATGGCCCTGGGACTCCAGTGGATGCCATCCCGGTTACGACTGGAAGGCGAACGAAAGTCAAATGCGGCTGCGTGATAAAAAGGCGCGGACTCCGCTGGCCTACCGGGCCGCCAGAAATGGCGGCAGAATACCGCGGCAACGGAAGAGTATGAGTTATCTGCCATTGAACAAGGATGACTCACAGGCCTTAGTTGTAGACTGGAGATAGAAAGTATACTACACCGCTGAAAGCCCTTTCCTTCCACTCAGCTCTGCACACAGCCCTCCCCCACCCCCCACAGTACAGTGGACAACGTCAACAGTGTATAATACTCCGTCCCCCAGTTCAAACCCGTCCCCCTGCAGGTGCCGTCGACACCGCACCCTCCCCGTGACCCTGACGCCGGGCCCGTCCCATCTCACTCACTGGTGGATCAGACAGCGGAACTGGTAGTGCACGTCCAGCACGTCGTAGCCGAACTCGCGCACCACGCCGGCGCAGAAGCTGTTGGCCTCCATCACGTCGAAGCGGAGCGTGTGGCGCAGAAACTCCACCTGGCGCCCGGCAGCGGACGGCAGGGCGGTCAGCCACCAGGGCACGGCGGGAGTCGCGCGCACACCGCCACCTCGCGGAGCAAGCACGGCATGGACGGCCACCGCGCGGCGCGGCGCGGCGTTGTTCGTTTCGCGGAGGGGCCGGCAGGCGGTGTGGGAGGCAGTAAGTGTACCGGGTCCAGTCAGGGAGATCAGAGTTTAATTTCCAGCATTGCACGCTTCAATGACTGTGGGAAAATTCGTGAAAAGTGCGATGGAAATCATCGCAATCATCGCCGCGAATCTGTTCACAACTGCCAAGACCGATAAATCTCAAGTGGCAGCTACATTAAAACAAAACAAACTCTCGGCATCGCGACATCAGAAGTCGCCTATAACGCACGGACGTTACGTACTTACTTTCATTTTCTGGTATGAATCTTCCGCGATTTCGATGCAACACACTACGCTCTGCGTGCCACGCGAACAAAACCGCATCGGCAAGACAAATCCTGCGCGAACGCCGCCGAGCTTTTCAATGCTACCACACCAACTAAATAAAAAAACGCGCAGGCACTCCATGGTTTCCAGTGCATACGACGTGGGAGGTGTGGACAGCCAGCAAGCAGAATCAGCCACCACACAAAACACAGCAGCAGAGGCTGCACGACGTCTGCCGTGCGCTGCTGACCGTCTATGCACGACTGCCTGCCTCCGGGGCGACAGTGCCGTCACCGGTTTGACGTCGGCAGGTGTCACTCGTCGCCAGTCTGACGGCAGACACCCGAGATCACCTGTTTGATGAGGAAGCCTCCGCGCGGCTCGGACGACACCGGCATGGCCGTCAGCCACACCAGCATGGTGTCCGGCCGCACCGCCAGCTGCACGTGCTGCAGGAACCGGTGCAGGTTTACCTTGTACTCCTCGACGCCCCGCGGGCCCCACCTGGGCGGTGAGCCAGCCGTCATGCGAGGAGGAGCGGCGAGGGACGGGTGCGCCGCAGCCGGAGGCGTCAGTAGGACCGCGAAAAGCTGGACAGAGCACCGGCGCAGGCGAGCAGCCGGTGAGGCACCCACCGACGAAGCCCATCCCGCCGCTAGCCCGGGCCAGTAGCAGACAAGAGAGCAGGCAGCGCAGGCTGGAGAAAGGCCACATCCAGCACCAGAGCCAACACCGCCACAGACCACCAACCGACCACGCACGATGCCCATGCAAGGTTTGGCGCGCGGCCGGCCACCGCGCCGACATCGCCCCACCTGGAAATGTCCCAGACGCAGCTGTTGACGACGACGAGGTCGGGCGACGCCTGGCGCATCTGGTCCAGCAGCCCGCGCATGTAAGCCGAGTAGATGCGCGTGCAGAACATGAAGCAGACGTTGAGGAGGCCGTTGGGCGAGCTGTAGTGACGCACCTCGCGGTAGTCGCGGCCGCGGGACGCCATCAGCCCGTCCACCAGCCGGTCGCCGGCGAAACTCTGCTCCAGCTGCGCCGCCGCGCGACGCGCCAGAGGAGGGGAGGGGAGGGAGGCGGGGTAGCCAGTGTCAGCTCGCTGCACGTGGCGACGCTGCTGTGATGATGGTGAACGGCAGGCCGGTGGGGCCATAACGGAGGTGATCGGGCGATGGTTCATCGGACCACTGGCCATCGGACCATCGGATGATTCGTGCCGACCAGCCGCAAGCTTGGGCCAGGCAGCACAGCCTAGCCACTGCACAGGTCGGCGAAAAGGTCTTCAGCACTTGTTGAAAAGAAGAGCTATGTCCCATCAGGAGGTCGTCTGATAGCACTGAGGTGATTCAAATACCGACTAGCGTACGACATACCTTGGCTTTCAGGAATTTCAGAGGAGTGTATGAGCAGTTGTTGGACAGCCAGACCAGGTCTTTGTACAGTCCCCTTACATCTGAAACGGAAATAGGCAAACCTGTAGACCATGACACTCAGTTTACACTTATTCATATTTGCAACGTGATTTTCGCCGCCTTACCTCTGTTTGCCAAAATGCACGAGTCTGAAAAGACCAAAGATCTTTGCGTAGAGTATGCGCACAGAAAGACATCGGATGGAGTATTACAAAGACTGCAACCTGTTCTCACATGCAGTGAGGCTATGAATATGGCCATCTGCACTTCTTTATGCCTCCGAGCTCATGGTAGACCCCAGTGGGTGCTAAGCAGAACTGTCAGGAATGCAGACCTTTTCGTGGAGCTGTGAAGTGATGCCCATCAACTACCTGCGTATCGAACCTTCACTTGATTGCAAGGCTGCGAACTTACTGGAGTCTCCCACGTACACCACAGTCTTTCCCCTCAACAACGATGTCAGCTCTTCAGGCGTAAAAACGTCAGGCATCTTTCATGTATCTTCCCTGGAAGAACATTTGCTTTTGTGACAACATGTTTGGGATGCAAAATTTCGACCAGAGTAGCACTTAGTTACTAGTAACTGCTAAGCTTAATGCATTTAGCAACTTGATGCATGCACAATTGATGACAGACTGGCACTGTCATAAGACAAACTTGCACGGTAATTGAATCAGAGTATGCCAATATTTCGGTACGTTCAGGAACCCAATGGTGAGTTCAAAAAAATTATTTCCAGATGTCCAGATATCTTGCTATATATTATGGATATTGGATATAATCCTTTCCAGTTAACTTTCCCACACATTGGGGAAAGACGATCAGTACAACTATTTCGCCACGGGCCCTGATAAGCAACGTATATCAGGTATAGAGGCGGGTGACAACATTCAAGGATCAACTGCTGTGTTCAAGGCCAAGATACCAAGACTCGCTCCATAACCATTGCTATGAGCTTGACATGATGTGCATTAAGCCAGGATGCTTATTTCCCATCTATAAAATTTTAAACAAGATTTGCACACTCAATGCCGAGAAAACGTCGCGAAACGGTCATCATCCTCACGAGATGGGCCCAGATGACCAGCGATAGCGCCGTGAGTCGATGCTGCAAATGTCGGAACTTCCATGTTGGATGCAAAATCTTGTAAAATGACGCTCTCCAAAGCTTCATTGTGATCCGCAAACAAATGTTTGGGAATAATATTATGATTAAAAGACCAAAAATGTTGTACTGGCACATGCTGTACATCCCCCACACCTATGCTTGTGAGTATAAATTAAGGAAGAAACTGTGGGTGGCAATGACATCTATCTCCAGCCCCAGCCACATTAAATGATGGTTATTAGCTGGGGTAACAGGTTGCTAATAAAAAATAGCATTATGTGTAAATACATGGACCATGCAAGGTCACAGTTCCAGAGACAACACACAGTCTGGGGAATGGTACATTGCCTGGCTAGCATTTTACATCTTGACACAATGTCATAGGGCTAAAGTTAATGCTAAATATTGAAAAGGATGGGAGTGACTGCTTCTGTTTATGCTTGCATGATGATCTGCTGACTAGACTATGGCAACCTCAGGACATAAAAGCTCAGCTCATAGTTATGCCACATATATTTTCACATGCTATGTTGCCATACATAACAAACATAACACCAAATCCAAATGTCCTCTAAGTTCTTTTGTCCACCAAACAAGAAGTGGTGTACATGGATGTCTTAACATCAACCATGGAATTAACTTTCAACATGTTCCAACTTGAACCAGTCACAGTGCTTGTGGATACCAGAGGCTCCACACAATCTGCCACCTTTTGGTATGTCAACCCTGTGTGATTGTCAAAAATGCAAAATAATCTTGCTTTCCCTGTGCTAAATAAATTACTCTTATCTGTAATTGACTTTAAGGGATACATATTGAGCTTTATAAAAGTGCCACTGCCCCATTTGCATTGCATGTAACACAGGTCTGGACTCAGCACCCAGCAGAGGAAAGAGTGGGGCTTATTATCTGAATGTGTCCTGGGGCAAAGTCATCAGTCATAGGTATGTATCCTAGGTGTACCATCATTGTCTAAAAGCATTGGGTGTACCCTTTTGCCTTTAGCAAATATACATTACACTGAAATAGCTGCCATATAGAGAGGGAATAATTTTATTTTGGAACTCTTTTACTGAAAAATTTATAAAATGTATTTATTACAAATTTGCATCTGTATTGGAATTTTTATTTGCACTTGTGAATTGCTATAAACCATGCTAGCAAGCACAACCTTAAAGGAAACTACCAAACATCTGTATGTGACATGCATAGCAAATTGTGGCATATTTTTCTTGAACACGACATTTACTTTGCTATCCACTTGCTTTTTATGCTGTATTTTGCTCACTTTTCTAACTAATTATATGGACTTTTCACCCCAAGCACTATTGTACCAATATCATGGTTTAAGTTCTTTGAGCTTTAGATGCACAATCACAAAATATATGACAAAAGTGCAAAGTGGACCATATTCCAATTGATCTATTTTTCTCAGGGTCCATGGGAGGGGCATATAGTTTTGCATTCAGTTTTGGGTCCCTGCCCTGCCCAAGTTTGGGAGGAAAATTAGTCACCTTCAGGGAAAAACATATTTATAATGCATTTTCAGTAGAGGTTTAGTCATTTTCTATACTGAGCTACCCAAATTATTTTACAAAACTACTTCCTCGGTTCATAGGCTACTTTGGGGTCAACATGTTGCGTTTCAGAAGGCCACACATTTTGACATGTTATGTACATCAATCCTGGAAGTCGGATGGGGGGATCACCAATATATTGAACACATCACTAGTAAAACTCACTGCAGACTTCTCACCACACATGCAAAGAAACGCGACAGGATGTCACTGCGAACTGGGAGGCTCAACCGCAGGGTGTCAATTCATTTTGAAAAAGGCGGGTGCGAGCACTACATCACTATGTCCGTGTGCCCACGTTAGATAGCCTTGCTTATGCGCTACAGCATCTATCAAATTTGAAACTTTTTGGCAATGACTTTTCCCTCACAAGTAAAGGTTTTCCTTCATGACCTGCGGGGCAATTCCTTCCGCTCTCATTTCATATGCAAGAGCAGGGCTGATGTTTCCTTTTCATTTGGTTAGGGAGGGGGAGGTGGCTTCAGGCTCGTTCAAATTGGACTTGGGTCCCCAATCTGGGAAGCAAGTGCGCAAAATCCGGGTAGAAACCTGTTTGTTGGCATAATTTCGGGCCGGCTCCCTCATTTTTCTCTGTTCAGCCCACAATGCATTTCCGAAATTCCACCCCTGTATAAGAGACTATGTCACCTCCCTTCTCACTTTTTCCTCCATGGCAAAGCGTTTTTTCTAAGATGCACGTTAAAGAGCCCACTAAGCAAGGTCAATGGTCAGCAAGGTAGAAAAATATGTAACGTGACGTATTCCCCTGTACCTGATGTCCGTGAAGTTAGCGATTTATTCGGCGATTTATTCAGCGATGAGGACCGATTTCCCTGAAAAAGGTGTGAAGGTCAATTGTGACATCAGGACACCGAATATCACCGTTATTTTACAATATCATGTGACCTTCAAGGTCAAAAGCTAGGTCAAAGGACGGGAACTCGATATGAACTAAAATTAACGGCCGATTTTCAACTTGCAGATGTCAGAGTAATCACGACAGAAAGAACTAGCGTCCATCAGGAAATCCTGGTCTCTCAAGGTCACCCTTCAAGGTCAAACACCGACTCAAAGGACGAGGAACTCAATATCAACCAAAAATTACCGGTCGTTTTGAAAACTATCAGCATCAAAATTTAGACAAGCGCAAGAGCTAGCATCCGTCAAAAAGTTCTGACACCTCAAGGTCACCCTTCGCGGTCAAGCGCGGGCGCAAAGAACGGGGAACTCAATATCACCACAAAATTACCGGCCGATTTTAAACTTGCCACTGTCGCAATATTTGCCTTGGAAAAAACTAGCGTCCGTGTAAAGGTCCTCACATGTCAAGGTCATTCTTCAAGATCAAATGCGGACCCAAAGAACGAGGAACTCCACATCACCCAAATTTTGCCGGCTGATTTTAAACTTGCGAAGGTGAGAAAATTCACCACAGATAAAACTAGTGTATGTCAAAAAGTCCTAACCTTTCAAGGTCATTCTTCATGGTCAGGCGCGGGCTTGAAGGACGAGGAACTTGATACCACCTAAAAATTACCAGCCGAATTTAAACTTACCACTGTCAAAATATTCACCACAGAAAGATCTAGCGTCCGTGAAAAAGTCCTGACCTCTCAAGGTCCCTTTCTCAAGGTCATTCTTAAAGGTTAAACGTGAGCTCAAAGGATGGGGAACTCTATATCACTCAAAATTACCGGCCGATTTCAACTTGCAAACATCAGAATATTCACCTTAGATATTGACCTTCAACGAATACCAAAATATCAACATTGAAGGATGACCTTGAGATGTCAGGACTCTTTGATGGACGCTAGCTATTGCGCTTGTGAATAGTTTGATACTTATAGTTTTCAAATCGGCGGGTAATTTTTGGGTGATACCGAGTTTCCCGTCCTTTGAGTCCACGTTTGACCTTGAAGGATGGCCTTGAGACGTCAGTACTTTGTAACGGATGCTAGTTGTTTTCCGTGGTGAATATTCTGATGTGCGTAAGTTAAAAATGGGCCGGTAATTTTTGGGCCATGTCAAGTTCCCTATTCTTTGAGCCATGTTTGACTTTGAAGGATGACTTTGAGACGTCAGGACTTTCTGACGGACGCTACTTCTTTTTGTGGTTAATACTCTGACGGTTGCAAGTTGAATACCGGTCGGTATTTCCTGGGTGATATCGTGTTTCCCGCCCTTTAAGACCTTGTTTGACCTTGATGGGTGGCATTGAGATGTCAGTACTTTCTGACGGACGCTAGCTTTTGTGTCTGTAAATATTTTGGTGCTCATAGTTTTTAAATCGGTCGGTAAGTTTGGGGTGATATCGAGTTTTCCGCCCTTTGGGCCTTCATTTGAAATCGAAGGATGACCTTCAGGGGTCAGGGGACGGACGTTAGCTGTTGCGCTTGCGAATATTTTGATGCCTTAAGTCTTCAAATCGGCCGGTAATTTTTGATCAATATCGACTTCCTCGTCATTTGAGTTCGCGGTTTACCTTTAATGATGACATTTAGAGGTCAGGACTTTTTGACGGACGCTTGTCTTTGTGTCGTAAATATCCTGATGTTTGTAAGTTGAAAGTCGGCCGGTAATTTTTGTGTCATATCGAGTTCCCCGTCCTTTGAGCCCGCGTTTGACCTTGAAGGATGATCTGGAGAGGTCAGGACGTTTTGACGGACGTTAGCTCTTGCGCTTGTGAATATTTTGATGCTCATAGTTTTCAGGTCAGCCGGTAACTTTTGGTCGATATCGAGTTCCCCGTCATTTCAGTTCGCGTTCGACCTTGAAGGATGACCTTGAGAGGTCAGGACTTTTCGACGCACGCTACTTATTTCTGTGGTGAGTATTCTGATATTTTCAAGTTGAAAACTGGCCGGGGATCTTTGGGTGATATCAAGTTTCCCGTCCTTGACCCAGCTTTTGACCTTGAAGGTCACATGATGTCGCAAAACAAGGGTCATTTTTGGTGTTCTCATGCCACAATTGACCCTTAAACCTTTTTTCAGAGAAATTGGAGCTCGTCGCTGAATAAATCACTAACTAAATCGCTAACTTCACGGTCACCTGTACCTGCACCTTCTTTGCACCTAAGCCTTTTTCGAAATTGCACGCCTGTATAGCGGACCATATCATCTCCCCTTCCTACTTTTTCCTCCATGACAAAGCGATTGTTCATAAGATGCACGTTAGCACCCGCTCGGGTGGGTGAGTTTTAAATTGCTCCCGCCCCCCCCCCCCCCCCCCGAAGGTGCTTCTAGAATGTTTTCCGAACTTTCCAGAGGACAGTCTCAAAGTTATCGAGAAAGGTTCACCCAGTGTTGTTGGACTGTACGGATTAATGTTGAAGGGCACTCAGAAACATTGTTTTACGATGGTCATTGTTGTGCGCACAGCGCCCGGTCCCTGGCGTTACTTGCAGTGGCCAACGCCGTTCTGTTTTACGAAGACTACAACCCAAGCCGTCGCTTTCCTAGCTCCCTGGGGATTACGGGCGTGGTATTGGGGCTTTATGACGCACTCAGCTGCTGGGGCTATATGGTGTCGCCAGCCTCTCACCCTGGCGGGAAGGGCGGGCGTATTAACCACTACACTTCCGGCTCCCGACGCGCAGGCTCATCTTTTGATGTTATTTATTTTACTAGTCGGTTCGCAAAAGAATGAACATTTTCAGGCAAACATGTGATGGCCTTGTGCGTTTTGAACCCTTTTTGACCCACTCCGTTCAGCACTAATAAGACTCCTTATGTCTTTGCGGCAAGGAAGCCCCCTTGAGTACAACACAGTGGGGTATATTATTGTTCCCGGTCAAGGGCTGAGGGGCGTTCTGTCCCACCGCGGTGTGTTTTCCGGCGACACGGGCGGCATCTCCTGGCCGATCCGGAACCTCTTAGAGGGATGCATCATGCCATATTATTCCGCTCCCTGAGATTGGTCCGCTCCACTCCCTCTGACGGTTATTTTGAGGGTCCGTCTGCGCAGGCCGGAGCCCCTGAATAGGACTCCGACCAGGCCTTTATGCCCTTAGACCCCCAACCGCGTGCACGATCGTCGGACCCGGTGGGCCCTCTAGGCTCTTCGGGCCTCCTCGAACACTGCATTCGGCCAACTCGGGGCCCCTTGACAACACAGGACCCATTCAAGGCGCTGTTGGACCCTGGTAAATGTAAGCCCCTGGTTCCGGCTTTGTACCTGCTTGGGAAATAGGCCTTCAGTTCCAGGCCGCCACGGAGCCGACCGTGCGTTACTGACAGTGTCTGACCGAAATAGAGGCCCTTATCGACTCAGCGGGCCCCTGATCAGAGCGCAGGGCCCTCTGACGGGCATTGGAGTGCCCGGCCTTGCGGACCGGAGCCCATGAATGAGACCTATGGCCGGCCTTCTGGGTTTTCCGGCCCTCAAATCGAGCCCTTAATCGTAGGTTCCGAGGGGACCTTCGGGCCCCCGGAAGCTAGGGGGGACACGCGCCCCCCGTGCCCCCCCCCCCTGCTTGCACTACCGCCTCGGTGCATCCTGTTGAGTTGCGGGCTCAAGGCAGCGGATCGAAGGTCAGAAACCTGAGCCCGGCTGCATCAGCGCACTTTGCGGCCTCGTCATGCGATTTGCCGTCCGCCACCTGCCAATTTTGGCAACTGGCATCACAACTGCCATCTGTCGGGGTTTCCTCTCTCTCTCTCTTCTCCCTTCTCTCTCTCTCTTCTCTCTCTTCATCTCTCTCTCTCTTCTCTCCTATCTCTCTCTCTCTCTTCTCTCTCTCTATCGCTCCTCTCTCTCTCTCTCTCTCTCTCTCTCTCTCTCTCTCCTCTCTCTCTCTCTCCTCTCTCTCTCTCTCTCTCTCTCCTCTCTCTCTCTCTCTCTCCTCTCTCTCTATCTCTCTCTCTCTCTCTCTCTCTCTCCTCTCTCTCTTTCTCTCTCTCTCTCTCTCTCTCCTCTCTCTCTCTCTCTCTATCTCTCTCTCTCTCTCTCTCTCTCCTCTCTTCTCTCTCTCTCTCTCTCTCTCTCTCTCTCTCTCTCTCTCTCCTCTCTCTCTCTCTCTCTCTCTCTCTCTCCTCTCTCTCTCTCTCTCTCTCTCTCTCTCTCTCTCTCTCTCTCTCTCTCTCTCTCTCTCTCTCTCTCTCTCTCTCTCTCTCTCTTTCGTTCCTCTCTTTCCCTTCACCCTT